TTTTTTTTTGGTTGTGGAAGGTGTTATGCCTGTAAAAAAGCAAAAACAAAAACAGAAAAAAGGAGTGTTATTACAGTAACTACTAATGGAAGAGAATAAAAAATAAAAAATTCTCGTCAAACCTTTGTGCTTTGTGTTACAATGTCTCTGTTTAAAATATGGTGGCAGAACAACCAGACAATTGGAAGAAAGATTAAGGGAACATGTTTGTAATATAAGGGGAATTAGAAAAACAATATGTAGTTCTACTCTCGTGAGGGCTGCTGAGTTGTGGGTATCCCTAAGCCTCTCACCGCACAGCCAACAGGTATTTCTTACACCAACTTACATTCAGAGAAAATAACCAGTCCATGGACTTGGCTTTGTTATTTTATTAGGGGAAATCAACTTGGATGGGGAAACTGGGATTATGGAATGCCCAGTTTGGCTTGAAACAATGGAAGGTGAATACTTTCCTTCTATGTACAAAGACAGATCCTGGACTGTTCTTTTACTGAAAGCCATCAGTCTTTGTGGATCAGTAGCAGCTGCCCTTTATGGGCGAGGAACTAGCAGCCCCTCAAAAATAACTTTACTTCTCGTAGTTACATGCAGAGACGTCTTCTCTCTCCCCCATAGAGCAGCTCCCAGTTCCACAGCCTGCAAGCACTACCAGCCCTCCTGGATTCTCATAAGATCTCCTGGGATAAGGATTAAGGATTGAGCCCAGCATTTTTTTTTTAGAAAGCTTGCTACGTGTGGCAGTCTTTCCCCTTGTAGACCCCAGAGTGTGCTGCTGTACTCACACTGTCTTCTTTGCTCGATGCTGCACCCAGCCTTGATCCCATTCATGCCTCTCAACTGAATGTATCCTACTGACCCAGCTCAAGCCCACACCTAGGGGACCCCTCCTAGGCACCAACAGTCTCCTCAGCACTCCATCTTCCACCCAACTCCTCTGTCAGCCTGACCCAAATTTATAGGCCAGTCCATCACTCTACCAGGGCCTCCAAACCTGGGATTTACCAGACCACCCATGAATATGCAGATTATCCCTCCACCCAGGGGCAAACTAACAACTCACGGGGACCCCCGGGCAATAGGGGATTATGGGGCCCCTGTGTCCTTGCCCAAACTCAAAAAAGCCTATGAAAAAGGTACCAGGGGCATCTCATGGGGCCCCCCTACTGACCCCGGGCCCTTGGACAGTGCCTGAGTTTCCAAATGGTCAGTCTGCCCCTGCCTCCACCCTTTCCTTCTTACCAACTTTTGGAGGGTTCAAGGTACTCCAGAATTAGGAGGAGGCAATAGAGCCACAACCTGTTGAGACATCCAACTGACCTGCAATAAACCAACCTTAATCACATGACTCACACAACTACCATGAGTCGCCACAATGATTTTGCCTATAATACACTACACTATTCTAGTAGCATACTACAGATACATTTCTAAACATTTTTCCTCAAAACATAGTATGAAATCTTAGCGGGCTACAATTTTGGGAAATCAAAAAAGTTGTAAGTATTGATGAGGTTAGAACAAAAAGAGAGAGGTATCTTAAAAAGAAAGTAGATAGATTTAAACAGCAGAATGATTTATGTTCAAGATTATGACAGTGCAATAGGGTAATTACAAATTAGGCGTAGGAAAAGTGCTGTTAGGTATATAGCTGTATTAATTTACATTTTTTAGTATGGTGACTATTTGCTCATGTTACTGCAAAAATGTTGTATAATGTAAAAAGTTTAGTGTGATTTATTTGCTCTAAGTCTAAGGCAATGTCTAAGGTAATCAACTGAATACAACCTTCCAATAGCAGCAGATGCACACAATGGTTTCTAAAAAAAAGTGACCTATGTTAGCAAGCTTCATACCCCTTATGCATGGGACATAATACATAGAATGGAGCTTGTAGACACACATGAACAAACCTGGAAGTGCCCATATGAGACCTGCATACCCTGGGATGTAACAGTGGCTGACTGGACCCAGGAATAAAATAGGACTTATATGCAATTGTTTTGTGTGCACAATGTGGATGCAATGTGGATTGTGTAAGTGTAGTTTGTATGACCTATTTTTAAGCATTTTAAATGGTATTGCTTTGTATTCTTGTTCCTGAGTTACAACAAAGTGAATACAGATCTCTATATGTTGAGATCCTTTTCTCTGGTAAGAAGCTGTGCAGGAGGGATGAACACTTGAATACTGGAGCACTTCAATGATTCTATTGTGGCACTGAAGGCACTTTCTCATTTTCACAGTGGATCTTCAGTGGCTTATTTAAAATTGAACTGTTATATGGACTATGAATATAGTTTTTTTTTTTTTACTATTAATCATGTGTTTATTTTCTTAAAGTGGCATGGATACTATTTGTGAATAGCTTTTTCATCAATGTTTTCTCAAAGTGACATGTGCACCATTTTTGAATTTATACTGCAAAAATCAAAACAAAAAAAAGTGTCAGGAGGCAGCAGTTATGCCTCCTGAATGTCTGTCAACCACTGCTCCAACCAAGGTGCAACAACCCCTAACACTAATATCAGTATTAGTAGTAGTAATAGTAGTATTAATATTTTAAAAAGAGACTCAGGTGTGTTCTTGACACCATCATTACTGCACTCCAGTAGAGTCCAAGTTGGGGGACCATGGTTCTATGTGCCATTGGCTTACAATTCCCCCTGTTGGGGAAAGAGTGACCTGCTGCAAAGACAGGAGTATTAAGCTGGTCAACATTGTTCATAATAGATTGTCAGACACTGTCAGCTTTAGAGGTAGCAGTCTGAAAATAATAAATAATTTGACTCTCACGTATTCTAACCTTTACCTGGTTTTAGCAAACAATAGTAATAGAGGCCTTATAGAGAACATTCAGCCATATGTTCTAATTGCATTGATTGATGTTTATTGCTGTGCGTCCCTCTTTTCTGAGTTGCCTGTAATACTATGTGCTTTGTTTACTAAATTATGCAATCCATTAAATGTTTCTAAAAACCTCAGGATGTTTTGCAGAGTGTCAACAATCAAAATGGGTTCAAGCTCTGGAGGATAGAATAAACTGAAACAAGCTCCACCTTTTAAGGTGATTGCGCTGCAATTGGTTCTTGCTGAACCGTCCAAGATTCAAACCGTCTGTGGTTGGTTTTAAGGGAGATCTTGTTTGTCACCTTGATTTTCCTAAAAGTATTGTCAACATGTGCTCATAACATCATCAGCCTCATCTCATGCATATGCCATACAACCTGACACTCATTTGTTATGAGAAAAATTCCCTCTAAGATGGTGTGAGATCTCTGGGGAAGGTTTTTTTTTAACAGATTATTGTAATGTCATATGGCGCATATGCAAGATGAGTCTCACTGTCAGGGCTCCCAGGTGTGACCAGAGGTGTGTGACTGACGCAGGGAAACGCAGACTTCAGATATGTGATAAACAATATAATTTATTAACACTAAACAATACAAACATAAACGCAGTGCAATACTAAAACATAATACAGTGCAAACAAACCAAACCAACCACCCACAGATAACAGTACATACAAGCAAGCGTCGTCAGGCAAGCCGGGTCAATATCAATAGGGCAGGTAGGTACAGGGGGAGCAAGCGGAGATGGGTCGGGGTCACAGGCCAGGTTCAGCAGGTAGCTAGCAGCGTAGTACAGAGGGTCAGGCAGAGGGATGGTCAGGGTCACAAGCCAGGGATCAGAACAGGTAGCAAGCAGCGTGGTACAGAGGGTCAGGCAGAGGGATGGTCAGGAGCGAGCCGGGACCAGAGCAGGAGAAGTCAGCAGCGGTTCAGATCAGGCAGGGTCAGCAAAGGAACAGAAACAGGATGCAGGACAGATACAGGGCCCAGGACAAACACAACACCAAGGCAGAGTCTGCAAGTCTGGCCATCCCTTAAATACACCAGTATAATCAGTTCCAGGTGTTAGCTGGCTGAAAGGTTGAGTCTCTGATTGCTGGGAGCACCCGCTGGCCAGCCCTGGTACTGCAGATCAAAGGCAGGTGAGTCCCACCATTGCTGGCCAGTCCATTCCTGACAGTACCCCCCCCCTCAAGGAGCGGCCTCAGGACGCTCCAAACAGTCCTAGCTGGGCAAAATGTTCCACCGCCCGGGTCTGGTAACTGGCGGGATATCAAAGACTGGCACACCGGGCAGGACTCCGGGCAGCGGCACACCGGGCTGGACTCCGGGCAGAGGCACATCGGGCTGGACTCCGGGCAGAGGCACATCGGGCTGGGGCAGAGGCACACCGGGCAGAGGCACATCCGGGCAGAGGCACACCGGGCAGAGGCACACCGGGCAGAGGCACATCGGGCTAAACTCCGGGCAGAGGCACATCGGGCTGGACTCCGGGCAGAGGCACATCGGGCTGGACTCCGGGCAGAGGCACATCGGGCTGGACTCCGGGCAGAGGCACATCGGGCAGGACTCCGGGCAGAGGCACATCGGGCAGGACTCCGGGCAGAGGCACATCGGATTACCAGGCGAAGCAGCAGGCAGCGGGCCACCAGGCGGAGCAGCAGGCACCGGGCCCCCGGGTGGAGCAGCAGGCAGCGGGCCACCAGGCGGGAGCAGCAGGCACCGGGCCCCGGGCGGGGCAGGCACCGGCCCCCGGGCGGGGCAGCAGGCAGCGGGCCCCCGGGCGGGAGCAGCAGGCAGCGGGCCCCCAGGCGGGGCAACAGGCACCGGGCCCCCCGGGCGGGGCAACGGGGCACGGGCCCCCCGGGCGGGGGCAACAGGCATCGGGTCCCCCAGCGGGGCAACGGCATCGGGCCCCCAGGCGGGGCGACAGGCATCGGGCCCCCAGGCGGAGCGGCGGGCGCCGGGCCCCCAGGCGGGGCGACAGGCATCGGGCCCCCAGGCGGGGCGACGGGCGTCGGGCCCCCCAGGCGGGGCGACAGGCATCGGCCCCGCAGGCGGGGCGACGGGGCATCGGGCCCCCAGGCGGGGTGATGGGCGTCGGGCCCCCAGGCGGGGCGACGGGCGTCGGACCCCCAGATGGAGCGACAGGTCTCGGGCCCTCAGGCGGAGCGGCGGGCGCCGGACCCCCAGGTGGAGCGACAGGTCTCGGGCCCTCAGGCGGAGCGGCGGCGCCGGACCCCCAGGTGGAGCGACAGGTCTCGGGCCCTCAGGCGGAGCGGCGGCGGGACCGGACCCCCAGGCGGAGCGACAGGTCTCGGGCCCTCAGGCGGAGCGACAGGTCTCAGGCCCCCAGGCAGGGCGGCGGGCGCCGGACCCCCAGGCGGAGCGACAGGTCTCGGGCCCTCAGGCGGAGCGGCGGGCGCCGGACCCCCAGGTGGAGCGACAGGTCTCGGGCCATCAGGCGGAGCGACAGGTCTCAGGCCCCCAGGCGGGGCGGCGGGCGCCGGACCCCCAGGCTCGGGAGCGACAGGTCTCGGGCCCCCAGGCGAAGCGGCGGGGGCACCGAGTCACCAGGCACGACAGTGGGCTCCGAGTCAACTGGCATGACCGCTGGCACTGGGTCAGACATTGGATCGTCTGGCTGGACAGCGGGCATCGGGTCACCAGGCATCAGGTCATTTGGCTCGACAGCGGGCACCGCGTCATCTGGCAAGGCAGTGGGCTCCGAGTCAACTGGCATGACTGCGGGCACTGGGGCAGACATTGGATCGTCTGACTGGACAGCGGGCATCGGGTCACCAGGCATCAAGTCATTTGGCTCGACAGCGAGCACCGCGTCATCTGGCAAGGCAGTGGGCTCCGAGTCAACTGGCATGACCGCGGGCACTGGGGCAGACATTGAATCGTCTGGCCGGACAGCGGGCATCGGGTCACCAGGCATCAGGTCATTTGGCTCGACAGCGGGCACCGCGTCATCTGGCAAGGCAGTGGGCTCCGAGTCAACAGGCACGACAGTGGGCACCGGGTCATCAGGTACCGGATTGTCTGGCTCGACAGCGGGCATCGGGTCACCAGGTATGACAGCGGGCACTGGGTCACCAGGCATCAGGTCATTTGGCTCGACAGCGGGCACCGCGTCATCTGGCAAGGCAGTGGGCTCCGAGTCAACTGGTATGACCGCGGGCACTGGGTCAGACATTGGATCGTCTGACTGGACAGCGGGCATCGGGTCACCAGGCATCAGGTCATTTGGCTCGACAGCGGGCACCGCGTCATCTGGCAAGGCAGTGGGCTCCGAGTCAACAGGCACGACAGCGGGCTCTGAGTCAATTGGCACGATAGCGGGCACCGGATCAGGTACCGGATCATCTGGATCAACAGCGGGCATCGAGTCAACTGGCCTAATAGGATCGTCAGGCTGGATCAGTTCATCATGCTGGGTAGAGGCATCAGGCTGAATGCCGGCGTCCGGCTGAGTAGAGGCTTCAGGCTGAGTAGAGGCTTCAGGCTGAGTAGAGGCTTCAGGCCGAGTAGAGGCATCAGGCCGAGTAGAGGCATCAGGCCGAGTAGAGGCTTCAGGCCGCGTAGAGGCTTCAGGCAGAAGAGAGGCATCAGGCTGAGTACAGGCATCAGGCTGAGTACAGGCATCAGGCTGAGTACAGGCATCAGGCTGAGTAGAGGCTTCAGGCTGAACCACGGAAGGCAGGTTCACCGGTTTGGATACTGGCAGGATGGTATTGGTTGGAAAGAATTTTCGCTTTTTTCTGGTTTTAACTACTGGAGCACTGCAAGTAAACGCAGGTCTGCAAACGAATGGAGCAGCTGGAGACAGAGAAGAGCTGGAGGATGGAACAGGAGAGGGAGCAGTTGCTACAGAGGGCTTTTTTACAGGGTTAAAGGCAGGATAGGTGCAGCGAGTGGGAACAGGGTACTGACATGCGGTAGATAGCAGGGCAGGAGGAGCTGTTGGGAATGCAGGAATAGAGTTTTGAGGAAATAGATTAGAAGCAGGACTGGGTTTTTTTAAGCTGACTGAGGCTGGGTGCAACAAGTCTGTCCATGTCTGCAGTATGGGTTGAACAAAGCTGAGCTTACACAAAGCCTGTCTGACCAAAGACTGCACTGCGTTTATACAATCTCTTAGTACCTGTGGTGAACATGTGGAATAACGCTCCAGAAAGTAACCCACATCATCCTCTAATAACCATACCAGGGACTCTACCTGGTCTGCACTAAATGGTGGCAAAAATTCATCCCTGCATTCGGGGGGTACCAGATGAAACCCAACTCAGCACAAACCTCAATCAAAGGCTGCACCTCAGAGAACTCTGTGCCCTGATCTACTAGAACATGAGCGAGCCGTATACATTCTAGCAGTTCATCCCGGGGATACTCCTTCAGAGTTTGATAAGCATACTCCCTGTCATCAAACACTAGCAGATATAAATACGCAACCTCATCCAGATCCATCCTTCCCATCAACAAGCCAAGATGGCTTCCCTGTGCAGCCACTTCTGGTCAGGATTGGCCTTGGTGTAATGTCAGGGCTCCCAGGTGTGACCAGAGGTGTGTGACTGACGCAGGGAAACGCAGACTTCAGATATGTGATAAACAATATAATTTATTAACACTAACAATACAAACATAAACGCAGTGCAATACTAAAACATAATACAGTGCAAACAAACCAAACCAACCACCCACAGATAACAGTACATACAAGCAAGCGTCGTCAGGCAAGCCGGGTCAATATCAATAGGGCAGGTAGGTACAGGGGGAGCAAGCGGAGATGGGTTGGGGTCACAGGCCAGGTTCAGCAGGTAGCTAGCAGCGTAGTACAGAGGGTCAGGCAGAGGGATGGTCAGGGTCACAAGCCAGGGATCAGAACAGGTAGCAAGCAGCGTGGTACAGAGGGTCAGGCAGAGGGATGGTCAGGAGCGAGCCGGGATCAGAGCAGGAGAAGTCAGCAGCGGTTCAGATCAGGCAGGGTCAGCAAAGGAACAGAAACAGGATGTAGGACAGATACAGGGCCCAGGACAAACACAACACCAAGGCAGAGTCTGCAAGTCTGGCCATCCCTTAAATACACCAGTATCATCAGTTCCAGGTGTTAGCTGGCTGAAAGGTTGAGTCTCTGATTGCTGGGAGCACCCGCTGGCCAGCCCTGGTACTGCAGATCAAAAGGCAGGTGAGTCCCACCATTGCTGGCCAGTCCATTCCTGACACTCACAACGTAATGCTTTCCATATTGCGAATGCGCAGTATGACAAGACTACTAGCAGAACTGAAAGTGCAAAAGATCCACTCCAGGTGAGTGCTGAATCTGCATAACCCCTCCACAGACACGCAGGTGCTGGCCCGATCTGTGATCACCACAATGTGGTGGATGAAATCCTTTATTGGAATCCTTTACATGCAATATGATAAAAACATGACAGGGCCAAGACAGGATAGAGGAGCAGTAGACGCGTTTCACACAAACACGTGCTTAGTTATTACAGGAATGACTAAGCATGTGTTCTTGTGAAACGCGTCTACTGCTCCTCTATCCTGTCTTGGCCCTGTCATGTTTTTATCATATTGCATGTAAAGGATTCCAATAAAGGATTTCATCCACCAGGCCGGTAAAATGAAGAAAAAGTCACATGAACATAAGCAAGCATACTTTTTCTTCATTTTACTTCATGTTTTTTGCACACATTTTAAAATATTTTTTTTTAAAAAGAGATGCTGAGATGAATAATGAAAAATCAGGCATAGTCCCTGCTATACTGATGGATGCTTTTACATTGGCATTGATGAATATTTTTATTGTGATATTGAAGGATATTTTGAATAGCCCTGAGGGCCATTTGCAAGCTGGAAATGAAAGGTAAAACACATTTGTTGACTACATAAAGGATAAATTCTTTTTTTCTCACATAGTTTATCAAATATATAAACAGTGATTTAAAGCACATGTACTTAATTTGTGTAGATTCAAAATGGTGGCTACACAATATTTGTATACTAAGTTTAACTGAGATAAGAGTAACAGCTTTTCCATAAATTTTTTTTTTTAATATCTACTGAAAGGTTTCTGGTGTTATTTCAAAAAGCAGATATTTCTAGTCATACTCCTATATAATATATCGCTGCTTTGGAAATATACACAAATAATTGTATAAGAGATCAAAATCTCTCAGCAGTCTCTACGCTTATGGGCGACTCCCCACTTCTTTGACCCATTTCCACTCCCTGCCAAAACAAAGCAAGACAAGAACAAAAAGATTATTTTTTTTGTTAGATGAGTACAAGAGGCTATCAGAGGTTGCAATTATGATAAAGGAGATGGCTAGGAACAATTGTTAGGGTAAAAGAGACTAGATACTGCTTACAAATTACAGGATTTTATTTACAGACTCATGCACTTGTAGCTTCACTGGCCTATGCCAAGGCTTCAGGACCTAAGTAACAGGGAGACCACATGGATGATCATGGCAGCTGCCTCTATTACCCTTAGTGGGGCCATACCCACAGTGACATTCACCTTCTATAGTGCAAAAATTCTAAAAAATCTAACACATACATTTTAATCTCTTTCACATACAGTACTTTCATTATTTAGGTGTTCAATTTTATATTTACAATTTTTTTGTTGGCAAATGCTTAAAGCTGTATTCCAGGAATTTTGACCATTTGATAAATGTGCAGGCGTACTATAAATTAAGGCCAATGAAGCGCATGCCACCTCCTTGACTTATCATTATTTACATCTGACATGTTTATGGCATTCCCAGAAGATACACTCAGGGCTCTGAGAGGAGAGAAGCACAGACAGCAGCTATGCCCACCCCTACCTTCTGCTGTCCATTCACAGAAGCCTTTGTATTTTGTGAATATGTTCACATAATAAAAAGGCTTCTGTGATTGGGCAGGAGGAGGGCAAGGGAAGCCATAACAACTTGAAGGAGCTGAGGTAAGTAGGTCCTGCATTTGAGCTTCAGAAGCTCTCTTCCTGGAGCTCCATAAACCTGTCAGATGTAAATTAAAGAGATAAGTCGATGAGATGGCAGGCACCTCATTGAACTTAGCTCATGGTATGTCTGCACTTCTTGCAAAGCAGCTGAATTCCTAGAGTTTTATAAATAGGACCTCTTATTATTTTTTTTTTGCTGTTGCTTTAATAAAAAAAAATCCTAGCTATAATGCAAAGTTACATTTTTTCCAAGCCAAAAGCTTCAGGCATTTTGCTTTCTCCTCAATGGGTGAACAAATTGGTGATGGAGTGAACAGAAGGGGAATATAAGTAGCAGGGGATGAGAGCAATTTAAGTGGATTTAAGTAGCTTTGCTCTCTATGAGAAATACAAAGATTTACTTTAAAGGGCATATTTTTAAGTAGCAAATGTGGCTTTTACCAAACATTCACCAGTGGTGAATCAATCACTGTCATTTAAAATACGTGAACCAGGAAGATTCACATGCAGTAAATTTTCAGTGAATGTTAGATTAACTGCTTTATAAATAGTCGGGCTCTTATAGTTTTTATTCAACATATCTCACTGCTTGTTTTCTCAGCTTTTTCCTGTTTGAAAGTATTTATTACCAGCAGACATACAAAATGTCAAGGGAGTTTATTTATTCCCTTGTGTCGCCAACCTTCAATGTGGGTTGGTGAAAGGAATAACACTGTTTTACAGATAATAACCCATTTAGTGATTTCATTTCATGGTAGAGCAGGTATATTGACAATGTTTTACTGATCTGACAGAAACATTCAGAAATTCTTCTTTTTAATAACAATACAAACAATTTTTTTTTTTACTGTATATTTGCAGTTG